GTGCTTTGGAGAGAGCAGGTGCTTGCCACTCAATCTCTCATGTTGTCCCCACAATTCATGCCAGTTTCCTGTAAATACGCTGACAGGCGGCTCCTCCTCCAGCGTGTCGGCTTTGGCCGCAGCGGGGGCCCGCATCCGTTTAGCAAGCCAAGTCGAGTCTAACTCGCATTTCTGTTGCAGGTCTGAATTTTTAAGCAACCGACTGAGATTAATGTACGCTGTTATGGAGAAGGGGGTTCCTCTTCCGCTTCCCTCATTTCCAGGTTTCCCCCTCCACCCCCCTTAAAGCTGCAGTATGTAACTTTTAAAACAAGCTGGAGGTGAGACGCAGTTTGACAGGACCATCGACTTTGGAGTGATTTGGTCTGTAGTTTTACTGCTGAACAAGATGACCTTGAAATCAAGTTAAAATGGTTAAAAGCGATTCTATCGTCCAGTGATAATCTGTCTTCTGCCTTCTCCCAGTGCTAACTAGAAACAACCAATCAGAGCCAGGAGGAGGATCGTAGCGCTGTTAATCATGCTTGTGTACGCAGTTCTCATAACCATTTTCTTTCTGTTACGCTTCCATCAACTTTCAGGCTTGGTAGTGTAGCCGCCATAATGGCAGATAAACAGTTTACCAAGAAACGTAAGCTGTTTCTCCATCATTTAGTGAGCATGATTGACAGCGCTAAGACCCGCCTCATGACTCTGATTGGTTGTTTTTGACCAGGGGCCATTCATTTCTTCAGACGGCAACAGCATCACCAGGCAGAAGTGGTGGAAATTTTATTTTATTTTTTTTCCCACAGATTATCTGTCTCATATTACCTTGTCAGCCGATGGTGACAGTTTGAACAAATGTGTAAAAAAAACATTTATTTTATAAAAGTTACACACTGCAACTTTAAGAAATTAAACCATCAATCGATGACTGAATTTTGTATTGACTTGGGCGGTCTTAGTCTTTGACGCAGGCACAACAGATGTTTGATCTGAAACATTTAAGTGTGATGAAGAAGCAGCGGCAGTCTGTTAATCACAGGGAACGCAGGCCGTTTGGTTCCAGGGCCATTACTGAGCTTCGTGTCGGGTCGGCAATCATTAACAGGAATAGGTGGAGAGTTTAAAGTACGCCGCAGCAATGGTGGAAATTAAGACACCCCACAGTAGATGATGATTGCTTTTGTCAGTGCCCCCCTTGTCTACACCCCCACACTGCCTCTTTGTGTTTCCAGCCCTCATTTACTTCCACAAGCCCCCTCTGTCTCTTCTCTCCTTCCCACCTCCTTCATCTTTTTCCAGCTCCACTTTTTGTTTGTCTGTCTCTGTCTGTTTTTTCTTTCTTTTTTTTTCTTTTTGCTTTTTATCCTCACCCTCTTTTCCGTCTCTGTTCTCGCGCTACACATTGTCAAGAAGCGGCTCATCAGACAAAGACATCCATCCAAATGGCTGGCTTTGTCAAAACAAACTGAGACAAACATTCCCCCCGAACAAAAAGAAGACGCAGTTTGAGCAGCAACACCTCTCTGATGTTTTCAGGCCTCTGGCTGTGCTAACAACAGAATAAGTGTTGTTTGTGCGTCTGGAACATTTCACTATTAACCCCCCCCCACACCCCCCCCCCACACACCCTTTAACTCTATCC